TCTCTGTCACTCTTGCTCATATAAGGAAGAAATAAATCATTTTTTTAAAATAAAGAGGTGAATATTTTGATTTAGAAATGATTCAGTTATTAAAAAGGGATAACAAAAATTGTCATGTTTCAATTTGTTAGTTTCTATTTTTTCTTCTGCTAATTACCATGCCGTATCATGTCTGATAAGAACAATACAGACATTATCGATTATTTACTTTTTCTATCAAAATAGGGCTTATCTATCCTAATTTTGTGTTATTACCCCTCTTCATTTATTTCAGAGAATCAAAAACCTTTATACTCTAGAGAGATTAAAAGTGCTTCTCACATGCAAGCATGCTAAAAGTTTCAATTAGTATCTTAGGAAAAGAGATTTGTATAATAATCACAAATAATTTTTCTTAATAAAATGTCTTATTTTATTAATCGAATATGATTTGTTAACTACCTTTTATTCACTAGGTACTATATTTATTCTGTGAGCCAAATATATGATCTTAATTGATACAGATTCTTTTAGGAGCACCTTACTTCCTTTAGCGCTGTTCTCTGATGGTAAAATTCGGATACAATTCCAGATTTTGACTCTCTCTAGACTTTTTATTGTCAAGTAGAGATCTGGACTTTGTGGATCCTTCATTCTGCCATGTGTAATCAATTCACAATGGCTTGAAACCATGACAAATTGAGTCAATCTGACTGGGCATGATTTAAGCAAACATAACAAACTGGAAGAACATACTAATAATGTATATTTTATAATACTTTTGATTATTAGGTTTATGGACAACAGAACAAGACTAGCTATTTTTCTTGATAGAACTAAATATCATGAATTAATTAGAGAGTCCCTTTATTCATGATTCAACTTAGTAGTAAAAATTTACTTCTTGCATTGGTATCTACTAGTAGTAAATACAATCTTGTAAATCAAACACATGGTATTGGTTGAACACTTGTCTTTTGTGACTTTCTGTATTTATGAGACAATTTCAAGGGTGATCCTGATCTTTCACTTTGAACAGGCTTGAACGACTATTGTATGCAAAAACACCCTTGTCTTTTTAAAATAGAACCTCTTTAAATTCACTGTAAAATGGGTGATAATAGTAGAGCATCTGTCAATTATAAAATTAAACACTACTGCCCTGCTTTTAAATATTTACATATTCTATTTAATTATACTATCCTGTTTAAGCAATATTTTATTATACTGTGTGATCCTCATTTCTCATTCCTTGCTATGTGATATAAAAAATATGATTTAATGCAATAGCTCTGTACTAAAGAGTACTTTCTCAGTGAAATTTCTCTGACTAGGCATATATCTAATCAAACTTACAAATCAGTCCAGGTGCAAATACAGAATTGCTCCCTAGCTGTAGGAATAATTATTTTTAAATATTTATATTAAGTTAGAAAAAAGTAAGTTAGAGTGATTTTAATACCAGCACATCTCAGTCTTGTAATGCAATGACAGTCTTTTTAAAATTTCACTATTCACTGTATGATGTTTTCTAACTAAACTAATTTTGAGCTGAATTTTATCCCACTTAATATGTATGAAGATTTAAAACATTTTTTCAGTCATTAATATTAATTGGCATTAAATTATTCTTTTTAAAATGTATAATATACATGGAAAACTAGCAAAACTAGATTCTACTAGAATATAGTGCAGTTTCTTTTTAACACTCAACTCTTCTAACCACTTTATCTATGTTTATTTTATTTTTCATAGACTTACCTTATTTGTTTTTACTTTTTGCCTTCATACTGCCATATTGCATGCAATTTTCTAAGCAGAGACACTAGAAGGTTTTTCTCTGTTCATCTTCCTTATTTCAAGTGAAATTAAAAGTTACAATTCACAGAAATCAGAGATGAACAGTAAGAAATAGTAAGGTCTCTGGAGTTAGTAAATACATTCAGTTCTGCTCTCATTGCTAGAATAGACATCTGTGTCCTGCACTCTTAGGTATATTAACAGTTCAATATCTTTTCTATGTATCAGAGACATGTAAGCTTTCAGTGGGAAAGGAAGCAAGCTCAATGTAAGAGACAGATATCTTTACAAGGCAAACTAAGTACAAGAGACGCGGCATGCCCAATCAACTTAGCCTCTTGGCTATGAGCATCTTCAAAGTAGCCACTAGAGTATATATTTAGTCTGTAGCTAGTCCATTGAATTGCATTCCCATCCAGAAAATGATTGTCATAAAGCTTTGTCTTATTACTGAGAAAAACATACAGCATTGTAGCTACAGAAAGAAGGTATCCAGGGAGAGCCTGGCTCTTCAGGTAGCTGCCTCTGGAAAGCAGCCAGCAAGGCTGACTCAGGTGAAAGTTACATTATTTATTTATGTTGAAAAGTGTAAGAAAGCTTGTTCTTGAGAATTTAATAAAGTGCTTTCATATAAGTTCCATTCCATTTTATATTCTGTTATGTCTTTCAATCAGGCTGAATGTATTCCATCTTATCACAAAAAAGGTCTGGGTTTTTATGTGTTCTGAATAGAATTCTTAAAGGGATATTCAATAGAAGTGTACTTCTTTTAGAATGTAACGTCATATAAGAACAGAAGAGTAAAATGAATTCCGTGTTGTGATTCATGTGATTTTTATAGAAATTTCTTCTAAGCCCTATTGACAGTATACAGTACTACATGACTATAAAACTCAGTAATTCTGGGACCAGCAGTTGGCACAATGGCTATGTTGCCAACTGCTGGTCCCATGTAGTCAACCACAGTTCGAGTCCTGGACCGAATGGCTTAAACTCATGCCAGGCATGTGTGCACGCATGCCCAAGATCCTGGGGGATGATTTCTTGCTTTCTGGCTCTCTTTTTTTCTCTGTATTTCTGGCAAGCACACACACCCTATAGCAAAAACCTCAAAAAAAAATCTAGATAATTCTAATCTGAGTCTAAATAACTTTCTGGCAATCCTAAATTTGTTTATTATAAAATTTAATTATGTTTTATAGGTTTGAAGACAAAAACATGAAAAAGTTTTCGTGTAAAGAATTGAAAATAACCAGAAATCAGTGAATATTTAATATATCTATTTATAGGAAATTCATCATCTGAGATATGCTGTAATTTTAGATATTTTGAAAGTCTATAGCTTATACAGATGGCAAATATAAAACTTATAAAATACTTTAAAAATTGCCCAAATTATCAAGGCAATATAAAATATAGAAATACACTAATAAAGATCAAATGTAGATTTTTGTTTTGGTTTTTGTAGAGAGGATTTTGCTATTGGGTGCGTGTGCTCACTGGTGAGACAGAGAGAAACATAGAGAAAGAAACTGAGAAATCACCCTGCCCATTGGGGATAGCCACACCATAATCCCTTCTCCTCCATTCTCCTCTTGAGATTTTGGGCATGCATACACAAATGTCCAGCATGAGTTTTAAGCCTCTGGGTCCAGGACTTGAACCACGGTTGACTATGTGGGAGTCCAGCAATGTAACCATTACGCCATCTGCTGATTCCCCAAATGTACATTTGAAAACACAATTGAATATAGAGAAATGATAATTAGAATGAACCTTGATTTCATAAGAATCATATTGAGAACTGCTGTGAATCTCCGGTTATGACTCACTATTTTCAGTCTATGAAAATTCCAGTCTGGCCCGGGCACGTGTGCGTGCGTGCCCAAGATCCCGAGAGGAGAATGGAGGAGAAGGGATTGCGGCGTGACCATCCCCCCTGGGGGGTGATTTCTCGCTTTCTGTCTCTATGTCTCTCTCTGTCTGTCTGGCGAGCGCACGCGCCCTACAGTGAAAATCTCTCCAAAAAAAAAAAAAAAAAAATTCCAGTCTGGCCATAGATTTAAAAGTTTAAGTTAATCATCTTTTCCATTGGTATTTGAGTTTGATGCAAAGTACTAAACATCCCAATTGAAGTAAAACTCCTGTTGGAGTCTTGTTTAATCTTTTATAACAGAGGTTTAGTTAACATTTTATAGACCACAGTCAAATAATTTCAGGCCCTATATTAGCTAATGTTTTCCCTTTGTCAAAAATCTTAATGGCTTGCACAGGACTGCCCTGACTGCCTATGAAGTAGAAGCTTAATACATACACATAACCCATATAGTAGAGTACACACATTACCAAAAGAAACATTTATTTCTAATTAGGTTGTCCAAATTATACCTATGGTAGTAAACTGTAGAAACAAGCTAAATAAGTCATATGCACTCACCAGAGGGAGACAGAGAGAGAGGGAGAAAAGGAAAGGGAGAAATCACTGCCCAGACTGGATGACCACACTGCAATTCCTTCTCTTCCATTCCCTCTCAAGACTTTGGACAGGTCATCATTTTGCTCATAATATGTAACCAGTAATGACTTGGTCAAATGGTGATTAAATAATCAAAGTGGACTATTGAACTTGTATCAAAAACAGGAAGAAAAAAAGAAGCGATTAATTTAAAACAAGATATATTTTAACCTGAATATGAATATGTCTCTTAACTATAAATGTTCCTGAAGATTTAAGGAGATGAAAAGTGTACCACCAACATATAAACTGATCTTTAAAAAAAAAAAGGACTAGACTTCATCTCCAGCAGAATACCAAACAAATACCGCTCACATACACACATGAGAAAAACTGCTGCAAAATCAAACACAAATCCTCGTATAGGTACAATTCTGCCCTAATTGAGATCCCTTGATGACATTTAAAAAAAAAGCTGCAACGTAACAAGCACCATGGTGATTATGATTATAGTAGTTATATAAGTAAATCATTCAAAATTCAACTAGTATGTCCATTGCTGCATCTTCCAAATCGTTTTTAAAATATTACAACAGAGAAATAATGTTGTCAAGTAATCTTTTACTTGACAGTGCCCGAGAAAGAGTAAATGCTTAATTAATATGACTTGAACTGGGGAATTTGATGGGACCTAACTTCAGATGAATCTGTAAAATAGATTATTGTCAAAGTTTAAGATCTTTATTGTAAAAAAAAATGATTTCTAACATGAAGGAAATTTGAATTTTTATGTAGATTTTTAAAAGCTTCTAATCAAGAGGACACTATTATTTGTGTGTAATATAGAGAAGCAAATGGAATTTGTGAAAGAGTGAAATACAGAGAGAGCCTGGAGCAGAGGCTCCGGGCGGGAATCAAAAGAGTGATGATGGGAACCAGCAGTTAGCGTAATGGCTATGTCGCTGGACTCCCACGTAGTCAACCGTGGTTCGTGTCCCGGACCCAGTGGCTTAAAACTCACGCCGGGCGCGTGTGCGTGCGTGCCCAAGATTCCGAGAGGAGAATGGAGGAGAAGGGATTGCGGTGTGACCATCCCCCCTGGGGGGGTGATTTCTCGCTTTCTGTCTCTATGTCTCTCTGTGTCTGTCTGGCGAGCGCACGTGCCCTGCAGTGAAAATCTCTCAAAAAAAAAAAAAGAGTGATGATGTTCTAAGTTCATAGTCTCAGTAGTTAAGATTTAAATAATTCTTCACTTGATATATTGTACCTGTATATTCATTGTGTAAAAAGAAACTTTTTATAATCCATGATCATTTTTTTTATTTGTTTTTATCTTCTTTGTCTCTTTTCTTGGCACATAGGAAGGAGACAAGCAATTTATGAGGGAAACATCCACACATCAACTGAATTCTGAACGCAATGTTCATACCTTCAAAGATTTATCTAATTTCTCAGGAGCCATAAATGTCACCTACCGCTACCTAGCTGCTACACCTTTACAAAGAAAGAGTACGTATCCTTCTACCTTTAAATGAACAATGTATTGTTTTGTTTTAAAATAATATAACAGTTTTAGTGCTTTACTAATGTAATATATCCCTTGGAAAAACACTTGAGTTTTTCTTCACAAGTTGCAATCACTCACCTACCCAATTCCATTAACAGCAGTTAAATAAAATGCCTAATTGTCATGTGACCCTTTTAAGTTTGTTGTAAAATAGCATAAAGAGACTAGAAAGAAATCAATTTATTTAAAGTTTAAAAGTTACCTTTTTAAAACTAAATAGTTTCATGTTGTTACAGTTTCAATTTCTAATGGTTTGATTTTATGACTTGCCATCAAGTTTGGAATTAGCAAAAGTCAGTGTGTTAGTTTCCTAGGACTTCTATAACAAATCACCACGAAGTAAGTAGTTTAAAAAAAGAGCAACCTACTCTTATGATTCTGGAGGCTAGAAGTTGAAATAAAGGAGATGATAGCACCACACTCCCTCCAAAAGTGCTAAGGGAGAAGCCTTGTTGGCCTCTTCCATCTTCAGTGGTTCCTGGCGTTATTTGGCTGGACTGCAAAGCTTCAGTCCTGCCTTCATTACCAACGACCTTCCCTTAGTCATTGCATGAGCTCTCTTCTTATAAGGATACCAGCTATTGGATTTAGGGATCACCTAAATTCAGAATTATTGAGATCCTTAGCTAATGACATCTGCAGAGATCATATTTCTTAATTAGGGTTCCAGGTAGACATGGAATTTTGGAGAAAACTATTCAAAGAACTATTGTCAGTTTGGAAAAAAAAAATTTGGAACCAATAAGTAGCATATTATATTTCATGAAATTCAAGACACTATAGCTCTTCAAAAGTACCATTCTGGGGACCAGTAGATGGTATCGTGATTACATCACTGGACCCTCACATGACTGACTGTAGTTTGAGTCCTGGACCTGGCAGCTTCAAACTCATACTGGGTGCATGTGTGAGGGGAGACTGGAGGAGATGGTACTGTGGTGTGGCCATCCTCTTTGGGGTGTGATTTCTTGCTTTCTGTCTCTCTCTCTCCCTGTCTCTCTTGCCAGCACACAGGTCCTAGAGCAAAAATCTCTCTCTCAAAAAAAGTACTATTCTGTAATTCATATATCATTAACAATATGGGACCAGCAAGTGGCTTGATGACTCTGGATTCCCACATGGTTGACCGCAGTTTGAGTCCCATACCTGGTGGTCTGCTGTCTTGCTTTCCCTTTCTCCCTTTCAGTCTCTCTGGTGGGTGTGCACATGCCCTGTGGCAAGTTCAATAGTAATGATGATGATAAATTAAGTAAATAATTCTAAAAAAAAGAAAAAAGAATGTATGAACATTACCAATTTTAATTGCAAGGTGCCATCAAATATAATGTGCACTTGATTTTCAAATGATTCAGTGTGAAAAATGTAAATCTTAGGATTAAAGAAATAAAATAATAGTCTAAATTTTTTCAATAATTTTAATTAGCTTTATTTATTTATTTATTTATTTATTTATTTATTTATTTAATTTGACCACAGAGGGACAGAGCAAGAGAGAGAGAGAGAGAGAAGAAAGTGAGACAGCAAGCCACCAGGTCCAGGAATCAAACTGTGGTCGGGAGTCCAACGCCCTAACCACCATGCCACCTGCTGGCCACGCCTGAACTTCTTAATAGTTTATGTGGAGACTGCAAAAACTGATATGCATTTAAGATGTGTTAATGCAAATGAGTTGTGATTACCAGGATGAGGAAACTGTTAAGGTAGTTTAGGTTTCTTTACAGTGCTTTTGCATTCATTCCACCATTCCTAGTATCTAATATTCTTAGTCTTCTTCCTGACTGCTTAAGACTGCTGTTGTTTTTCATTTCCATCTGTTACACCACCTTTGTCTAAACATTACTAATTCCACCTTTTCATGCTAAATTTACTAAAGTATATTGGCAAACATGCAACTGCATTATACTAAAGAGGCAATATCACACAGAAAGTAAGAATGGGGAATTTGAATCCTTTTTTAAAAATTTAATATATTTTCTTTGCCTTTATACATTCAATCACTATACATTACTTAGCTTGTAAAGTGAATTTTCTAACGTGAATACATTTCACACCAGTCCAGTTGGAGATACTGTACACATTATCAACAGACAGTAATTATCTCTGTATCCCATAAATGACTTGCCTCTCTATTTTTCTACTTAAGGTCTTTCCTCAGACTCTCCTCCTTCTCACACCCTCTTCCCACACTATACCCAGTATCTGTAACTATTTTCCATGTTTCTGTATCCTCTAATCTTTCAGTTTTCACCATAGACTGTGGACAGTCAGTACATATTAAGTGGAGAAATACAATGTCTCTCCTTTGTAGTCTGGCTTGCTTCACTCAGCAGTAAATCTTGAATCTTGATACCAAGCCACTTATTAATATTTTGTGGAAGTAACCTCATCACCGTCTTTGTCTTGACTGATATGCACTGTATCTATGCTAGGAAATGCAGTGTTGTACACTATAAAGATGTACAGTGATTAAATGTCAATTTAAAAATAAAAAAATAAATATAACCTCATCACACTGTGACTGTTTCCTCATCTGTAAAGCAAAATGATAAGAATAGTATACCTAGCCCAAAAAATTGTTATAAAAATTCAAGATGCAAATTAAAAGTACCTAGACTCTTGCCTTTTATGTAGAAAGTATTTCTTTTTTTCTTTTTCCTATAGGTTACCTGCTCTCACCAGAAAGAAACAGAGGGAGAGAGAAAGGGAATGTGAGAAATCAGCCCCCATCCCTCTCCCAGGGGGAATGGCCATGCCACAATTCCTTCTCCTTCAGTCTCCTCTTAGAATTTGGAGCATGCATCCATCCATACATACCCCACATGATTTTTCAGGCCACTGGATTGCAATGCGCATGACCATGTAGAATCCAGCTTCTTAACCTCTGAGCCATTTGCTGCATCCCCTGTAGGAAGTATTTTATAAATATTGGCTATTATTAAGTATTGATGAAGTTTGATGGCTTTAAATTTAATGGAACAAGATAATATAATTGTATTTAAGTAGAAGTCAGAGTCGAAGTTTGATGGCTTTAAATTTAATAGAACAAGATAATATAATTGTATTTAAGTAGAAGTCAGAGTCATAAAACTAGGCATTTAAACAAGATATGTAAATCTCAACTTCTCTGACAAACTAGTAAGAAAAATTTTTCTTGAAAAGGGCATTTTCAGTATCTTACAAATCACTCAATGTGTATGTCTCTATTAAAGCAGACACTCTGGTACATATAAATATTTCCCCATTTTCTAAATGATGGGTTCTGAAATTTTGTTTAGTTCTGAGCCATGGAAGAGTGAAGCTTTAAAAAGTGAAAATAATTTCATTGAAAATCATCTACTACATCTCAGACACAATCTTTTATCTGAGTTTTATTCCCTAAAATATCCAACTTTATCTTTTAACAACTGAATAAATTTTGTTCTAGATAAAATTACTATACAAGGTCTTTTCCAAAAAAAAAACACCAGTAATATCCCTATCTAAGAACAATATACTATACATTTGATCAGTGATACACCATTTTCAAAGGGACCTTAAGATATTGTTTGCTATTGAATAAATATAAAATTGTAAGTACAGTTATAAATTCTTCTAGTAAAAGTAAGAATAATCAAAGTAAAACGAAAATATATGACATATTCTATGAAAAATGTAATGATTAAAAGGATGAGTCACTATTATTTTCCTTTTTCATCATTTGAGATTCGTTTGTCAACCTTCACTCTGAATTCCCTTCCCTTCTGCATTTTTTTAAAACATAACTTATCTTTGTCTATCTCAATGCATCTATCTATCTTCTCTAATGAGAATATATGAGGAAATTCAGCTGCAGAACATTTTAAACCTTTGTTTTAGCATTTAATAAATAAATGTGCATAGCAGTAAGGCCTATATATCATTGTGCTTACAATGTAATTATTTTCCATAGAAAATACCAATTTTGTATGAAATACTATAAACTTTATATGTTAAGCAAAATAGCTTAATCACAAAATGTTCTGTACACAAGTCTCTAGATTTTACTTAATATAGTAGCAGACCTGAGGGCAAAGTATCTTTTCTTTTCTTTTTCTAAGTTCCTCAAAACCAATTTCACATTTGTCTTCCCCATGAATTCTTTTGCTCAGGGTATCTTACAATTGGACTTTCATCAGTGAAACGAAAAAAAGGCAACTATTTGCTTGAGACAATCAAATCAATTTTTGAACAATCCAGCTATGAAGAGCTGAAGGAAATCTCAGTGGTGGTTCATCTAGCTGACTTTAATTCCTCATGGCGTGATGTCATGGTCCAGGATATTACACAGAAGTTTGCTCACCATATTATTGCAGGAAGACTAATGGTTATACACGCTCCAGAGGAATATTACCCAATCCTGGATGGCCTTAAAAGAAATTACAATGATCCAGAAGATAGAGTCAAATTTCGCTCCAAGCAAAATGTAGATTATGCTTTCTTGCTTAATTTTTGTGCTAATACTTCAGACTATTATGTAATGCTTGAAGATGATGTCCGATGTTCAAAAAATTTCTTAACTGCCATAAAGAAAGTCATTACATCGCTGGAAGGCACTTACTGGGTAACTCTTGAGTTCTCTAAGCTTGGCTACATCGGTAAACTCTATCATTCTCATGACCTTCCCCGTTTGGCACATTTTTTATTAATGTTTTATCAAGAAATGCCTTGTGATTGGCTATTGACTCATTTCCGGGGTCTGCTGGCTCAGAAAAATGTGATTCGTTTTAAACCATCTCTTTTTCAGCACATGGGTTATTATTCCTCATACAAAGGGACTGAGAATAAGCTGAAGGACGATGATTTTGAAGAGGAGTCATTTGACATTCCTGATAACCCCCCTGCAACTCTATATACCAACATGAATGTATTTGAAAATTATGAAGCAAGCAAGGCTTACAGTAGTGTTGATGAGTACTTTTGGGGGAAGCCACCTTCAACAGGAGATATCTTTCTGATTTCATTTGAAAATCCAATTGTGATCCAAAAAATTAAAGTGAATACTGGAACAGAAGACCGGCAAAATGACATTTTGCATCATGGAGTACTAGATGTTGGGGAAAAAGTTATATCTAAAAAAATAAGTAGACAGTGTGCTACGTACTCAAGACTAGGGGAATTCAAAAATGGAAACTTTGAAATATCAGGTGTGAATCAAATAATTCCATTTAATATACAATGTATAAGAATTTGTGTTACCAAAACACAAAAGGAATGGCTGATTATTAGGAGTATTAGCATTTGGACTTCTTAGCTGACCAAACCAATATGTTCAATTACTGAAGTAGGTCTTCCTGATTTCCTTTTTGTCACCTTCCTCTTTTGCTACCTTTGTCTACTGGAAGGAAAACAATATGGATAAGATATGTTAAAGGAAAATTAATCATTCTGACAGTTTTGTATTGTGCATTGTCAACCTATTAATTTTACTCTGATACCCCCTTGTATTTATTTTAACTTCTGAAGCTAAATATCAGACCATGGTTAAAGCTACTTTAGCTTATACTTTTTAATGTTCTTAGTTTCAAACCTAAACTGGATTGTCTGGAAGATAATATGAAAGAGTTAAAATGAAAAATCTTAGTAAGTTGGATGGTGAATCTTGAAAAACAGTTACCAACTATATACACCGCCTCAAGGATGATAAATCATTATATCATCAGATAACTTTTAGTAAGCATCTGTGTGAAGATGCCGTTGGTTAGAATGAAAGTCTGGTTTGTTCCCCTCATAAACTTCGGTTTCCATTTACTTATGTACATCTACAGTGATACCTCCTCATAGAAGTGGTGTCTTTACAACAGAAAGTTTCGTGCAGATGGGGCTATGGAATAAGGAAAAAGAAAAAAAAGACTTAAAAAATATCTCTCCCCTGATTGTTTATATGACAGGGGACATTGTTTGTTGTTTTAAAACATTTAATTGAGCACCTGTTGTTAATAAATTTTCTGTGGGAATCTCTCTTTTTCAAATTTCCCTTTTGCAAAAAAAAAAATCTACAAAAAAACAATAAAAAGAATACTTAAGCTCAGTATTTTCAGGTTAATGGGGTATCTGCATTTAATAAAAGAAATTAGAGAAGGCCTAGAGCTAGTTCATTCTGATAGACATTTTCAGTATATGCAGAAATTTTAAATAATTGATTTTATATGTTTTGTATTAAATTTCATGTGACTGAAATTATTGTGATTTATCATATACTTTTTGAGAGTTTAAATGGATATCTTATACTGGAGAAAAGTAAGTACCATAGAAATCAGTTACTTTTTTAGACTCAAAGAACTATTTCCTACCAAAATGAGAATTATAGATTTGATGTTCTGATAAGCAAACAGTACTCTTTCACTCATATGGAGATGACTTCTTACCTAATTTATGCTTTCTGGTTTTCATTTGCTATATGAGTCTCATGTAAATAAGTTACACTATTTGGAAATAAGTGGTATAATTTTTTGAAAAATCATATTATCACACAGAGGAATAATCTCGAAGTGTCCAAAATGATGCTTTTGTGTTATATAGCCCCAAATAATAAGCAAACTTGACTAAACTTTTACTATTAGGTACCTGAAAGTGCTCTCTGTCATGTGACATTTTAAGCAATTCAAGACACCTTAGTATAGCCTAAAAATACTGGTTTTCCAGACTGTCCTGAACTTTTCTCATCTTTTTTATTTTTTGATGAACAACAAAGATGAAGGGGTTTATTATGGAGAGAAATGGAGGATGTTTTATATGTATTTATATGTAGAATATGGAGAAGTTCAAATACATGTTTATATAGATGAATATGTGTGTATACTCACGCATGTATGTGTGTATATATATATGTATACACACACACACACACACATATATATATATAAATATATATGAAGATTAGAAATATGAAAGAATGAGAAAATCTCTCTACCCCTCATTAGACTTATGAAAGAATGAGAAAATCTCTCTACCCCTCCCTTTCATCCTAACTGTAGGACTCAGTGGTATCTGAAAGTCCAAAAAAATTTAGAATCTTTTTATTTTACTGATTCTATCTGAATCACTTAAATTAGAAATTCAAATTAAAAATTGGGAAATTCTGGGTCAGCAAGTAGCATGGTGGTTAAGGGTGCTAGATTCTCACATGGCCAACAGTGGTTCAAGTCCTGGACCTAACAGCTTGCTTTCTAACTTTCCCTTCTCTCACTCTCTCTCACTCTCACTCTGTCCCTCTAAATAAATAAATAAATAAAGTTAAATAGAATAACTCTAAATAAAAAATTGGAAATTTTGTTCTTTTATTAACTATTGCATATTTTTTTGCACCAGTTACTATAGTATTAGCGAGAGCCTTATATTTATTTTTTTTTAATTTGCCAGAGGGCATGTATGCTCACCTTTGGCAGAGAGAATGAGAAGGAGAAGGGAAAACATCCCTAATGAGACCTGGACACACCAAAATACTTTCACCTCCATTTCTCCATCTTGTCAGGATTTTAGGCATGTATGCCCAGGCACATGGAGTGTTTCCAAGCTATCAAAGCTGAGATTCAAATCTTAACCACTAGAAGGAACTGGCCCTAGATAGAACCTTCTATAAGAGGTTATATATTAATATTTTGTGGCACAAGGAAGTCTTAAAGTCTTAAGGAAATCTACATACTATTGCTAAACTATTATCTTTACCTTTATTTGAAGTCTACTTACTAGACACTTGCAAATATTCTGTTTTCTTTATTTTTTTTACCCTCTTTTATTAACTGGCTGGTTGTGTAATAGCCTAAGTATATTCTGGAAACTATTAGTAACATTTTTCTTCACTACCAATGATAAAATGCACACAGCTGTGTTTCAGTGATATATAATGTTAAGACGTAAGCACACTCCATAAAATGAGTTGTAAACTTTTCCATATTATTCTGGGAATGCATTTCCAATGGCGAGCTACTGCATCTCTGAACTTCTAGAAATGCTTCAAGAAAGTGTGCTGAGTCAGCAATGAAGTTGGATGTTTACTGGAGAATTATATATGTAAATATAATCTGAGGTCCCACTTCATCTTAAGATTCTTTCATTGATAAACTGTAATAGATTTCAACAAACTAAAAATTCATCTGGGGGTGTTTCTATGCTTCATTGCTTTCTGCTTTCTTTCTTTCTATTTTTTTCTTTCATTCTTTCTCTCTTTTTTCCTTCCTTTTTCTTTCTTTCTGTATTTGCCAGAGGGCAGGTATACTCATCAGAAAGGGACAGAGAGAGAGAGAAAGTGAGAAAACACACTCCTATGGGGGATGGCCACACAGCAATCCCTATCATTCATCTCTTCTTCCTTTTGAGATTCAGGTGGACACACATGTTCCAGCCATGTTTTTTTTAAGCTGTACATCTGGGACTCAAACTGCTCAGTTGGCCATGTGGGGTCCAGTCACCTCAAATAGCATGCCACCAGCTGGCCCATTTTCATGATTTCTTTATAGGTTTACACTCAACTTTCTAAGAAAAAAATCTTAGTAAAATGAGCTTCTGGGGCTGATGGTTGTGTTGGTTAAGGGTGCTGAACTCCCACATGGCAGATATGGTTTGAGTCCTGGACCTGGCAGCTTGCTTTATCACTTTCCCTCTCTCTCTCTCACTCTGTTCCTCTCTGGTCAAATCAAATAAATAAATTAATAAAATAAATAAAGTTCAATAAAATAATTCTTTAAAAAAGTAAAAAGCTTCTTCACTTGGAGTCAGGAGGGACAAAGAACCATTCTCAGGCAAAAAGCAAATCTGTCCAGTTTTTACGTGGATAAATACACTCATGCTCTACCTAACAACATTTCAGTCAGTGAAAAATTGCATATATGATAGTGGTCCCATAAGATTATTAGACTATGCCATATACTCCAGGTGGGTTATAGGCTATACCATCTATATTAGTATATAATGTTCATGCAATGACAAAATCTAATGCTTCTCAGAATGTATCCCTGTCATTAAGTGATGCTTGGGTGTGTTTAAAATTATGAATGAGGGGAACCAGCAGTTAGCGTAATGGCTATGTCGCTGGACTCCCACGTAGTCGACTGCAGTTCGCGTCCCAGACCCGGTGGCTTAGAACTCACACCAGGCGCATGTGCGTGTGTGCCCAAGATCCCGAGAGAATGGAGGAGAAGGGATAGCAGCGTGACCATCCCCCCTGGGGGGTGATTTCTCGCTTTCTGTCTCTCTGTCTCTCTCTGTCTGGCGAGAGCACACGCCCTATAGCGAAAACCTCTCAAAAAAAAAATTATGAATGAGACTCTACTAATCTTGTCTCAGGGTTAATTAAGTTTAACTCCACCCAATCTGATTTTAAGCATTATTTGATATCTTCCTTTGATTTTATATATATATATATATATATATATATATATATATATATATAGAGAGAGAGAGAGAGAGAGAGACACAGCTAAGAGAGAGAGAGAGAGAGAGAGAGAGAGAGTCATCTTAAGGAAATATCCATTGCAAAGGACTGGAGCAATACATGAATAGTTGAGTTATTTATTTACCATGAAAATAAGACATTAATAGGTTTCAAGTACAAAATATGGTATATACCTTAAATAATCTCTCCAATTTTTATAATTTAAGCTAACTCAAAACTTTACTTACATTTAAAATTCTTCTAAGAAACATTTTAGTATTTATGAGCATCAAGGAAACACATCTTATAAAAGCACATTAAAATTTGGGAAATACATTTTTAGAAAACACAAATTTTAGCAGTAATAACTAATATGCATATAAATTATAAAAAGCATTAATGCAGGCACTTTTCATTCTCAATGAAAACTGTAACCTTGTGCAATTGGTAAAGTAGATATATTTCTGGTACAGAAATATGATTTGGAGGGAACCAGCAGTTAGTGTAATGGTTATGTCACTGGACTCCCACATAGTCGACCGCAGTTCGCGTCCCAGACCCAGTGGCTTAAAACTCACACCGGGCGTGTAGGCATGCGTGCCCAAGATCCCGAGAGGAGAATGAAGGAGAAGGGATTGTGGTGTGACCATCCCCCCTGGGGGGGTGATTTCTCGCTTTCTGTCTCTATGTCTCTGTCTGGCTGGCGAGCGCACGCGCCATATAGCGAAAATCTCTCCAAAATAATAATAATAATAATAATAATAATAATAATAATAAAATTTTTAAAAACGAAATATGATTTAGAAACCACTGTGCCATTTAAACTACTTCTCTCACCTAACTTTACTTATCAGACAGACATTCCCTTTCTTACTGGGCCAGTGTTCTTTGGGAATTTTATAATGCTATTATAGAGATGGGCTGTGTAATGGTGGATACATGAAACAAACACAAATCATAATGTATGATGTGGTAAAGAAAGCATCACTTTTCTGTATGCCCCTGTGCTATGCCTCACTCAATATGTTCCAGCCTGTCAACATCTTCTTCAGAATCTGGCACCTAGGATTAAAATTTAAAACACTACACTTAATGTCCTCTTACAATTGAAAAAAGCAAATGAACAAAAACTTATTGTCTTCCTTTGCCTTTCCAATACATCCATTAATACAGTAAAGGATTACATTTATTTTTTTTAATTTATTTTTTTATTATCATCATAATCTTGTTTATATTACATTGGGTTGCATATAACTTTACAGTGTATTACATTGCTTTTGCAAAAGGGATTACATTTATTTTTATCACCATGCTATTGAGGAATAGATCTCATGCTCAACTTAAACAATAAGTTATTTCTCACATGGTGTACACATAAAAATGATTTATCGTTCTATACATGTTGAATTTAGTTTTCAAAGTTTTTTTCAAGATCATTAATTTCAGGGGAATTTTATTCACCCTGTTGCTTTTGAATTATGATCCCACAGTTTCTCAATCTTGCTCTGTCATTCAGTGTTTGAACATACCTTCTCATTTTTGTGTTTTTTACAAATTTGATATCTATGCCTTTTATTCATTGGAGATAAAACAGA